ACTATGCTTTTAATGCTTATTTTTGTAATGCCTTTTAAGTAAAGTGCGTCTCTCTGTAGAAATAGAGCAAATAAGAATTCTGAAGGCTGAAAATAATTTGGCATGTACAAAACATTATATTGACTCCCCCCCTCACCCCCCTGTTATTGTGTTGAGGCTCTGCAATTGGCAACATTAAGGCTGCTAATGTTGATTATGTACATGCTGTCTGTAATAGATTTGGAAGGATCTCTAGATTGAGCCAACTAACTTAACCTACATTTCGTTTGTGCATTAATTTCACAGGTCTCTGTGCCAGCTTAATGATCACATTTGCAGCTCTGGTGCTCCCCATTTTTCCCCTGTACAGCTGACTTGGTTTATGACCAGGAGAAAAAAAATACAGTTTTTTTGTGCATTTTTACAACTCATTAATCTATTTACTGTCCTTTGCTTGCCTTTATTTGAAAGAGCCCGCTTCAACATCCACACCAACTTTGTCTTGGAAATGCTGAGAACAGAAGGCAGAATAATTTACTTGGTCACAATGTCTCTCAACATAAAACAGCCTTTCAAAATGCATGTCAAGCCAGAGTTTCAGTTCTATATGACCAATCCCATTGTGTTCATTTTCGATTTCCTAGTGGGTGCTATTCAGTATTGTTTGATAGACTGTTAAACGTATCCTAGAATTTATCATGAGTACTCATCCGAGCATCTATAGATCTGCTGTCAAAGATGAACTGCAAAGATAGAGAAAGAAAGGCATGGGTAAGGATAGTTTATCTGTCAAAACCGAAGAAATATCTCAGAATGGTAAATGAATTCTCATGTGCTCTTTCTGTTAATAGATAATTCTTCAGAAATCTCTAAAATGATTGCAGAATTTTGTTCAGGCATATATATGGCTGTAAGGAAATTCTGGGTTTTTAATAGGATATAATAGCCTATTAGCTATTTTAGATTTTTAATAATATAGTTTTATTCATGTTTGGCTGTATCATATAAGGTATGGAACTTTGCTCTGTGACCATAAATAATCATTTCAAAATTTGATTACAGAAATTCTGGAAATCCTTTCTAAAATAGAGCACACAAATTCAAACAGAAGTTAATAGAAAATTATATGCAAACAAAAAATTAACAAAAATTACCCTAGGACAAATCAGTTTCCTTTTTATTTAAGCTATTAGAGAGCAATCCTAAAGGAAGAAAGGAAATAGCAGAATCTCTCCTACTTGCAAAATCCTGCAAAGCTGCATGCAGTGATATAGAGAGGAATAGATTAGTATATGCCCACAAAGCTTTTGTGGGTTTAATTGGGTCTTTGGGGGCGGAGGGAGAAGAAACAATCATCCCTGCCAGCAGCAAAGTGTTTCTTTCTCATCCTAACCCTTCTCAGAAAACCATTACTGTGTTAGATGTGGTGAAAAACCCTTTTGAAAAAGATCAACCTCTGTTTGGAACAACTGCCTTGTACAATTGCAGATTTGGCAGCTAGCAGCATTGTAATTTAGAAATACTGTGTGGCAAGAGTCATCGTTCTAGTCACTTAATATTTCTGATATTAACAATTGACCACCTGTTACTTAATCAGATATTCCATGGAGCCATGATGCTGTGGACCAACTGTTTAGAACGGTGAAATTTGAAGAATCAGCTTTTGTTCTTTTAATAATTGTTTCCTTTGATTCCCTTTGCTTTAAACTGTATCTTTTGGCTGGCTCTAGTGTTTTAGGGGGAAAGATAAAGGAAATAATTGTTTATATAAATCTTAAATCATATTCGTCAATTTTATAATACAGGTTCAAATTAAGTTAATACTTTAAGAGTAGTTGCTTGTTTTGTTTTATTATATTTGGGCATTCAGAAATGATTGCCAACAGAATGAATGAAATGTCACATTCTACCATGTGTTATTTGGTGACTACTTCCACCAATGTTAATTAGGGAGTTGCCAAAAAATTAAGTTCAGAATGCTATAGGAGGTTAACTCTTGCAAATTAGATCATGACTTAATCTGTGCTATGGAAAAAGTAATATTGCACTTCAAGGATGCCTTGGGTCCAAACTGCAAAATACTGAAAGAATCTAGCATAAAGAATAAATGCATAGCTACAGTGAAACTTGTCACTATTACCTCTAGATTCAATTAATGCAATGAATTCTATGTGTGCCTGCCTTGTGGGACTTGGTCAAAAATATTCAGAGATCATTCATTTATTTACTTATTTTATTATTTATTATTACATTTTTATGCTACCCATCTCCCCCAGAGAGTGACTCTAAGAGGCTTATAATTAATGGGTTGAAGCTAGGTACTTTGAGGATTGCTTTCTCCAGTCAGTTGATAAGTGATCTAAGACACTTATCCATGAGAAACTGCTTGTAGTACCCATTGTCGGAAGGAGAGGAGGCTGAAACGAGGAAACATTTTTTTTATTTGTACCATGGGCATTCCAGTTGATGTGATTGTGTTTTAATTTTGTAAACTGCTGACTGTTACTGAAGTGTGGTATCTATCAATTAATTAATTAAAATGCAGCAGGTAGAAAGCTGAACCCTAGCCAACTGTTGAGATAATGTGAAGCTCTTTATTACAAGAGCTTCTGGTGTCTGAGCCAAGCTTAAATATTTGTTGTCAAACCTGCAAAATGGCTAATGTTAGAATACTGGGCTTTCTCCCAAATGAACTCTTAGAAATTGTTTTTTTTTAAATGAATATTTCTCATGATCTAGGCTTAAATATCAATCTGGTGCAATGTAGGAAGCATTCCAATTTGTAGATATCAATTGTTAAACTTTTCTCAGTATCTTTGGTAAGAGAAAACTGAATGATTCAACCATTAGCTTCCCAGTCTGAAAGCTTTATAGGATACAACACAAACTGTATTAACCTTTTGATACCCTTTATGCTTAAATGTTCAAGTTAATTCCTGCCTTCATTAGTGATTTGTAACAATATTTGGCGGCTAGCTATTCTAAAAGAAAAACATACAATCCAGTCTAAAAGTTTTGCTAAATAATGCAGACAGTGGGAAGTGCATTCCATCACCTAGAGTGACAAGAAAAAAGAAAACTCATACTTTCTTAACAGTTGTTGTTTACTAACCTGTTTGAACCTGTCTTGCAATATTTCACTTGCAGATACAATTATATAAATGGATATCCCACTTTCCGTTTTTGTGTTTCATTGTGTGTATTATTGGCCTAGGAGAGTAGTATGTATGTATGTATGTATTTGACTTACATGGCCGCTCATCTTATGAAACCCAACTCTGGGTGGCTCACAACGTTAATAAAAAGCAAAGACAGCAAAACTTGTTTTTAAAGTTTTTAAAACCTGACACCTAACCAACAATCTCCAATCCATTGAACAATATAATTCCCAGGCTCCAACCTCACCCTATCCCAGTGCCTGAGGGAAAAGCCAACCCTTTATGGCATTCCGAAAAGCTAAAAGAGTGGGGGCCTGCTGGATACCAGGGGGAAGGGTGTTCCACAGGGCAGGGGCTGCTGCAGAAAAATCACGCTTCCTAGGTCCCACCCTGCTGGTATTTTGAAGCACCTTGGACTTGGCTCTTCACCCAGGCCTTTGGCAAGGGGGAGTGAAGTCCCCTTTGGATTGTGTGGGTTTATTTTTTTCATTCTTGTCCTTTTTTTGTCATCCTTGCCATCTTTTATTCTTCATTTTTATTCATTGTTGTATTTTTTTTCTTGTTTTTAAAGTTTTTAATCTGAACCACCCGGAGTCATTGGGAGTTGGGTGGCATATACATTTAAATAAATAAGTAAATAAATAAATAAATGGCAGCATTTAAGGGAAGAGACCTGGAGCATGCCCACCCTATCTAACCTGGTGGGGTGAGCATGGAGATGCAGTCCCACAAATAACCTGGCCCTGTGCCATGTAGAGCTATAAAGATAATAACCAGCATCTTGAATTGTGTAATGGGCAGAAGGAATAACTACCATCAGATAAAAGAAATTTGAGTCTGGGCCATAATTGTAACCTGAGAAAATGTCTCAATGCTTGACCTTCCCTAGTTCTCTTGAAGATAAAGGGAGGGAGGGGGAAGGTATATTCAGACTTGCAAGAATCTGTTAAAACTGCTACCTGGGCAAGGGAAGATTCAAAAGAAAGACATGGTAAGAGAGCATCTTTTCTATTCCTGTGACCATAGACCAGGCTGCAGAGCTGAGTTTATGTGACTGTTCCTTGTGAGAATTAGAGAAATATGTCAAGACAATGTCTTGGTTATATAACATTTGCCCTTTCTGTTTTGCTTTCTTGATTTCAAGCTCTTTACTTTGTCATGAATTATAGAACAAGATTAATCCAATAGAGTATCATATTTTGCATTTGCACACTTTTGTCACAAGATTTCTCCCTCATTCACCATCAAAATAAAGCTTAAGCTGATGTCTGTTGATTGTACAGAAGATCACAGATTTGGCCCATTCCAGTATGGCATGGCACAAAAATACGAATCGTAAGCATGGATCATTATGGAGCTCATTGTATTTCAAGAGGTCCCCCAAATCACCGGCAAATCACAATTCATCTTCATGCCCATACTTTCTGTGATTTGATATGGGTCAGTGAGGTTCCATATACAAAGTCAGAAAGAAGTATGTTTCAGTCCTGTTTTTGGACTATGTTGCCCCTGGGCAGGACAGGAGACTTGATTTTTCTGGTATTTGTTGATATGTGATCTGAGATAGTTTCAAAGACATTTCCCCCCAGTCCTAATGGGCACATAAACAAAAGTAAACAAAGCGTTTGAAAGAAGTGCTTCACAAGAGTGAAGGCAGGAGTGTGAAAGAAGCAGGTCTTTCAGAAAACTCTGTGTTGTATTTTCAGCATTTTAAAGCTTAATTTGGATTGTTGCCTTTGTAGGCCCTCCCACCAATATAATGAGCTGGTTTCTATTAAGGGTAGATATAATAGGCTTTAACCTATTCAGTGAGTCTAGTAGACTAAAATTCCTGTTTGCTGTTTTGTTTTCCTTTTAATTCAGGCAATTGCTGGATATTTTGATGTGCATTTTGAGAAGAATTGTAACAAACAAGTAAGTATTTGAAGGCTACGTGTTCAAAATTAATTGTAAATATATTTTATATGTTGTCACCTTTTTTGCCTTAAGGTGTTTTGAAATAAGCCTATTTGGTATTGCAAACACTTAATAAGTGTGTGGTTGTGTAATGAATTAATGAAGCATGTTATTTAGTCTTGTACTTTATCAGGGATCTCTGGATTTTGTTACTGCAGATACTGCTTTCAACTAGTCCCTGTTGCACCAAGACACACTGGAAACAAACAGTATTTTTTCTGGAGAACCCAATTTCTGTCGAAGAAGGTATATATTTTTGTGTGTCACTTACTTTTCAGGACAGATTGGATATTAGTAAATGTTTATATCCACATAGGCACAAAAAGCTGACCCAAGTCAAGCAAGTATTTACCTTTTTCTAGGACTCTGCAACTTCAAATTATGCATAGGGATTAGTTTTTATATTACCATTACAAACACAAATAGTTAATCTGCACATCAGTATCTAGAGCAATGGAAAAACAGGCTCCCTTTTCACAAGGACAGGGAAAAATGGGTTTGGCAAATACTTTGTTAACTTTTCAGGAAGACTTTAATCTAAATTGGAAGCAGGAGAGAAACAGAAGCACGTATTTGGATAGAATAGTGCTAGGCATTAGTAACATGCATGGCTAATAATGGAGGGGGTACAAGGGAGACATTTAGAAATCTTCAACATGATGTAGGGAAACTAATAAACTCTGACATTCCCAGGTTCCCCGCTGTCTGCAGACCTGTGCATGAGTATGGGCAGCGAACAAATGAATTGGAAATCCTAACAGGAATATAGTTATGACCTGATAAATTTCATGGAAATCTGATGGGGAAATTAGATCTCACTGATGAGAACTTAGAGCTCAGTGAAGGACATTATTTTTTTCAAAAGAAGATAAACCAACAAAAAACATGGTGGCTTTCTATATAAAGAAGCCATATATGTGTGAAGAAATGTATGATCTCAGATATGGGTCTTGTTAAGATAGCCAGTTTGGTGTAGTGGTTAAGGCACCAGGCTAGAAATCGGGAGACTTGAGTTCTAGCCCTGCCTTAGGCAGAAAACCAGCTGGGTGGTCTTGGGCCAGTCACTCTCTTTCAGTCCTAGGAAGGAAGCAATGGCAAACCACCTCCAAAAACCTTGCCAAGAAAACTGCAGGGACTAGTCCAGGCAGTCATCAGGAGTCAGAAAGTGATCAAAGGCACTGCCCCCACCCCTGCTCATCAAATTCTCAAGAGCTATAGTGGTAACAAGAGACCAGCTATCCCCCATATCTGCTGGAAAACTAGTTCAGCTAGGAATAGGAGGTCCAACAGATTCCAAACTTTTCTTGATGGCTGTTTCAGAAGGTGGAAGAAGAAAGAAAAGGTTTGGCTATCCTGGACCTAACCCTGACCAATAAAAAGAAATTGGTTGATATAATGAAGGTGTTGGGCACCTTGACAAAAGTAACCACATCATTTTGGAGTTCAAGATAACAAGGGGAAGAGCTGAGAAAAGTCAGCCATGTATCTTAGACTTCAGGAAAGCAGATTTTAATAAACTTGGGCTAAAGGTGGGCTGCTTATAGTGGCTCAAAATCCTTATCCTAAGGGATAAACAGGCCAAAGATGGATAGTTGATTATGAAAAATGAAATAGTGAAGGCATTGACACAGGTGATCTCCATGAGAACGAAAAGGTTTAAGAGCATGTATGGATGAATAGCAAGCTCATTGACAAGCCAAGAAGCAAAATGATGATGTATCAGAAGTAGAAGAGGGACTAATAACTAGCGAGGAATACACTGGTATCTTAAGCCTGTAGGAATGGAGTCAGGAATGTCAAAGAATGAGATAAGGCTGGCACAGAATACAAAATGCAATAACAGTGAGCAGTTGTTAGGGTATGTCCAAAGTAAAAGATGAGTAAATGAGGTAGTTGGTCTATTGCACCGGAATGATGAAGAAGTAAAAATGGGAACAGGGAGAGGGTTGAACTGCTTAACACTTTAATTGCATCTGTCTTCTCACAGAAGAGAGTGAAAGCCTTTCCTGACTCGATTAAAGAAAGGGGGGGGGGAATGCAATTGAGGATTAATAAAGGTGTAGTAAGAATCCATCTTACTACCTTCCATGAATTTAAGACTCCAGGGCCAGACAAATTACATACCATCTGACAGAAGTGAATTTAGGACTGTTGACTATAATATTGGAAAATGCCTAGAAAACTGGTGAGGTATTGGAAGAGCAAACATAGTCCCAATATTAAAAAAAGGCAATAGAGAGGCTCTAGGAAATGACAGATTAGTTAGTTGAATGCCCAGTAACATACTAAGATAGATTGTCAAGCAGCATGCCTACAAGCTGTTTGAAAAGGTATTGCTACCTGAAAACAACATTTCAGGTTTTGCAAAAAATTCTGTCGAACTAGCCTGATCCCTTTTTATTTCAGAAGGAATCACTTGGGGGATCAAGGGAATGCTGTGGACATAGCATACCGTAATCTCAATAAAGCATTTGACAAAATCTCTCCTTACACTCTTTAAGGACAAGATGGATGAATGTGGGCTAGAGGGTAATGTGGCTCAGTAGATTTTGCAGTTGGTTGAACCAACACACCAGAGGTTTTTATTAAATGATTCTGTAGTGACTGAGTGGGATCCCCAAGACTGTCTTCAGACCAGTGCTTTTCAATAGCTTTATAAATAGGATGGATAGAAGGCATGCTAATCAGATTTGAAGATGCTACCATACTAAGAGGGTTGGCTGGCACCATAGAGGACGAAAAAAAAAATCACAATTCAGAATTACCTCAACAGGGTTAAATATTAGGCCAAATCCAAAAGGATAATGTTCAGTGATAACAATTATAAGGTATCATCATTAAATGTATAGGTACAGGACTGGAGAAACATGCCTTGGCAGCAGTATATATGAGAAGTTGCTAGGAGTACTAATGAGACACCAGCTAAATATGGCAAACAATGTGATGTAGTAGCTAAAGAGGTTACTGCCATCTTGGGTCACATTAACAGAAGCATTATGCCCAAGGTCACAGAAGGTGATACTTCCATTGTCCTCTATACTAGTTAAGCTGCACTTGGAGTACTGTTTCTATTCTAGGCACCACACTTTAAAAAGAATATGAAAAAGCTGGTGCAGACTGAGAGAACTACCATGATGATAAGCTGTCCATCTTATGAGGAGTGATTAAAGAATGTGGACGTGTTTAGCTTACGAAAGAGAAGATGAGGCACACCATAGCAGTCTACAAATAATTAAAAAGCTGTCATGCACAAGGGGTGCATATATGTTCTCTATTAAAACCACAAGCCTAGTGTGTTGAAATTAACAGGAGATTCAGGCTGAATATTAGAAGGGATTTCTGAACAGTCTGCCTAGAACAGTAGTGGACTCCCTCATTGGAAGTTTACAAATGGGCCACCTGTTGGGGATGGTTTAATAGATTTCCTGCACTTGTAGAAGTTTGGACCATAAAGTCACTTGTAACTCATAATATTCTGTAATTCTGTGTAGAGAAGGCTAATAGTTAGGCAGATTTTACCCAGTGTGTGGATTAGATATACAGTACAGTTTGTTTGCTGCACAAGTTGCTGCTACTACTACATAAGCATTTATTTATAGTAATTACCCAGTTGGTATATCTCCATCAGAGAACTAAAATAATTCAGACAAAATGAGGTTTGTGTTTTCTGATTATTTTCATAAATCAGTTGTGATATTAATTTAATCTGATTATACTATGCAGCTTTTGTAATTTGAAAGTTTTTGGTTTTGTCTAGAAAGGTCATCTTGTGAAATCACAGGACCCTTTGACTCTACAGTAAACGTGCCAAAGTATTTACGAGGGGCACTTGTGAAAGTGTGTTGGCACAAGCGAAGTATCCTTCCTGCAACTCCTTTTCTGTGTCAACACCATTGTTAGTTTCATGCCATTCCTTTTCTCTAAGAAGTCAAGGCAGTGTGCTTTTCAAAATGTACTTTGCATAGCTGATGGCACTTACTAGGAAGTGAGTCAAGAGATATGAGTGAGTGATGCTCCAGAATGCGACAGCGGTACAGAGTGAGGTTCGACAGAACATTGTCACTATGCTTCATTTGTTCCCAATACCTTGCTGCAGGGCTGAATGAATGAAGAAAGACCCATCTAATATTTCACAGACAAGGAAAACTACATTCCTCTTGAAGGGCATTTTTGAAATCAGAGTCTTGAATAACAGAAATACATACCACCAGTTTTACACAGCTACTGCCTGAATATGCAGTAGTGTTTCAAAGTGAAAATTTATACTAATCTTAGCTAATTTTCCCCTAGCTCTTAATATTGTTTTTCTTTTCCAAAAGAAAAAGATATTCTCCAACATATTCTGTATCTGCCTTGTCTGACAAGAGTATGATTTCTATTAACTGTAGATGTATATAACTTACCTTGAAATAATTTTTTTAAAAAGATTTTTTTTGGTATTAACTGAATTAAGCTGAAAGTCAAAATCTTTATGCCAGCAAATTCTATTAGCAATAAAATAGCACAACTGCATCTTTTATGTTTTTATGGTGCCTTGCAGTGTGGTTTTCTGCACTGACTTTAAGGTTGTAAACAGCAGCCATGAACAATCAAAATATTTTAAAAGGGGCATTTTACTGAAGGCTACTTCATTCTTTATCATTTAATTTAGTTCAGTAGTATCGATAAAAATGTGCACTCAGTGATGTAAATATGAGTGGGTAGTAAGATTTATTTTGCCAGAAAATAGGAAAGCAATATATGAGACAGCCTTCTTTCTAGACTATCAGCTAAAGTTTGAAATTTTGATTAATTTCAATAAACGTACTCAAAATCAGTCACTTTTTAATTTGAAATCTAATATCAAAGCATAGAAACAAGGGACATATTTAAAAACACATTCCCAAATTGAATCTGAGATACAGAAGATGCAAAGCAGGTAACTCAAGAATTCGGCTTACTGGTGAGGGGCCAGTTTACATGTCACGTGGTCCTAGATATGGCATATTTATATTTGCTGTTTCTGGAGGCTTACTGCTAGTAATCTCATTACCTTATGAACAATTTCCCATCTTGCGGTTCAGCAACATAATTACTTTTAGCCCTCAGCTGCCATAAAGATCATGCAGTATGTCTGTGGGTAACATTTCCACTGAAGTAAAAAGCTCAACTATGAGGATTGCTATAATGTGCTCAGCCATAGAACCAGGCCTCTGAGGGGTAAAAAACATAGTAATTATAACTGCATGCTTCTCTGGAAGATTTGTTAAAGGCAAATCAGACTTCATTTTCTCTGAAGGAAGAGTGTCAGGTCTGTAGGAGCAGGATAATGAATTCAGGCTTGATCAAACTACAGCGTGACTTGTATCTTGCATGCTTCTTCCTGAGCATAGGTGATGCAGCTCAGTCTTGGAAGGCATTCTCGGCACTGTGTAGAGCAGCGGAGCTGTTGAGAGCACATCAGTCATTTTATTTCTCCGTGGCATTTATTAATTGGCCTGGTCTTCTTCCCTGTTCTGATTGCGCTACCATTGCTTTAGTTCACAAACAGAGATGGTGGCGCACGAAAGATTTAGTGTGGCCCATTGGGGTGAGAAAGAGGCAAAGATCTGCCTCGTGACAATGAATAAAGCTGATTGTCTGAGTCACTTAATGCAATTACCTTGGTTATAAATAATGGAGAGCTGCCCTGATTGAAAACTATAGTCGGCTCTCATGAAAATGTTGTTTTGTAGATTTCACAAATTCCTCATCAGTGTTGCTTTAAAAAGCAGGTTTACTCCCTTTTTGCATAATTAAACTGAGACTGTGTGTACTGATAAAATAATCTGGGGTAGAATTACAGCTGCAGGTTAACAACAAGACGTTTTAGAAAACTGCTAGCGATTTTCAACTAACAATTGTTTTTGCTATAGTTGTTTTGAAATAAGTGTCATCAGGTCTTGTTTACATATATCAGAAAATTAATGTACTTAGTTAAAAAAGCAAGACCACCTCATCCTTACATCCACAGAAGTTTGCTACTGTACATCTTTTACAAATTGCTGTAGCATGTGTCACATTCACATATATTTAACACATGCAGTACTATTTTTATAGTAGTGTAGGGGTTTTTTTTCTGTTTTATTTTATTTTAGTCACCTAAATTAATAAAAGAACTGGAAACTACTACATAAAATTCTTCCAAGATAATTTACCATTCCTGAAGTTTTCTTGTTTTGAGTAAGTTATAAACAGCTTCTTAACAGCAAATATATATTGTGTTTTATAGCTGTTTATATTGATCTTTTAATTCTGTTTGTTGCCCATAGTCACTTTGACAAGAGGGGCGGCCATACAAATACAAATAAATAAATTCAAAGAATTGGTCACCCAAATTAAGCTGAAAACTACAGATATGTCGGAAAGCAGGATATTATTGGTTTAAGATCAACATAATTAGAACTAATCAGGAGAAATCTTACTAAGAATGATCAGAAACTCACCATGTAATATAAAATTAATATTGTGGTAATGGACAAGAAGATTTATTGTTCCTAGTGTTAGGTGGCTGTTTTATTTTCTTTGTTATTTTTATTTTATTTTTAACTTATTCGTAAGTCTTTAAAAGACTTTGGGGAATTGAATGACATATAATTTGCAGCAGAAATAAATAAATACATTTATTTACTAATGCTAGAGAAAAAAAAAGTAATGTTCCTTAACACTGAACATTTGCATTCCTTTCCACCTGTGCCATTGCCCCACCCCACCTCCATCTTCTCCAGGGTGTTCTCTAATCCAATGTTCCTCAACCTTGGCCACTTGAAGATGTGTGGACTTCAACTCCCAGAATTCCCCAGCCAGCCATGCATTAGGGATATAGAGAGGAACCCTGCTCTAATCCTTTGGGGTAGACTTGGGGGGAGAGGCTGCATAAGGTAGGGGCTTCAATCAGCCCATAATATCTGCTTGTTTGGGAGAGAGACATTTTTGGGTGCAGGACTTAAAACCTTTGCATTTTTGTTTTGTTTCTGTAGGTGAAGTGCTGAAAGGAAAGATAACAATACACAGAAACCGAAAAGATCCCCGCGCCCTCATTGTAACACTTTCAGTTAAAAATGTGAAACAAACATACAGTCTGCAGTGAGCATTGCTCCACAACCAGCTTGAGAAGCATAGTTCAGTCACCAGATGTAACTTTTTGAAGCAGAGAAGTCTGGATAAAATTTAAGATCATTTGGTTCCACTTCCAATAAAGTTTTTATTTTCTCCCAAACATGAGAATGACAGCTGACGTTCTATATGAGACTACTGACTGTGCTTGGCAATCAGTTCATACTGTCTTAAGAAGTATTTCTCTTTTGTGTGGGAATCCATTAGTAGAGCAGCAGTCCTCTGCCCAATCTCTGAACTTTCAGTAAATGTAAGGATGAATTGTGATAGAAATACATTGCAGGTCTGCATGTAGAAGTAACACCGCTTCTAGAATTATTTTTAGGAATAATTCATATTATTAGGTGGGATCCAGAAATTATTTCTACAGTGGTGGAATCTCCTGGAGAGTTTTCTGCACAGAAGGGGAAAGGCAGGGTTTGTCTGTCACCTCTGCAGGCTTTCTTATCACCACCTCAACTCTTCTGGAGAATCTTCAGAGCAGATTTTTGAGAACCCTTGGGACTTTCTGGGAGCCAGATTTCTACTCTGAATCAAAATCATTAACTTTGCAAGCAACAAGAGCCTTTCTGTATGCAGAAAGCAAGATGTAGGTTTTTATGGTTATAAAATACTGAAGACACAAATAAACCATAAAAATACTGAAGACACAAAAATAGGACTAACTTGATACAAGACTGTTTGGGTTTGACTGCCTTCACCTACACATAGCCAAAAATTATGCTTTTGAATAAATTGTTTTTATAAATACAGTTTCAAGATAAATTCATTTCTTGGTCTTTGGACTTCAAATGTATATATTATTAGACTGTAATAGTTTAAAAATATTAGAAGTAGAATACAGCAGCTTGCTATTATTGTTATCATAATCACCATCACCTGAGTGTCATCTTTCTACCTAGAGGGCATTCCAGATGAGTAACAGTTTAAAAAAAAGCTATTTGCATCAGTTCTGAGTGAGTCAGAATACTGTAAATAATTTTTCACATTGTTATTCAACATTAGTACTGCTTTAGGTATACTCTCCCCATTTTTAAGATTTTCAGAACTTTAAAACCCCCGACAAGATAGAATTGCTGTTTGTCCAAACCCAGACCATTTCTCTTATAAGTGGATGAGGTGACATCCCTCCCTCCCCAAAAAAGCACATCCATGGTATGGGTATCTTTACTGGTCTCGGGGCTGACGGTGCTTGGGCAGGTCCAAGCTGTGGGTGATCATAATCTGCAATCCAAGGGACCTTCACTCACCTACTGGGGTGTTAGTTCTGGCCACATCTGGGACGAGAGGATCTGGTGACAGTAACTCCTTCCTTCCTCACACCAGGATAGACCACTGCAATGCACCCTACATGGCACTGCCTTGGGGGACTATTTAGAAACGACAGTGGATGCAAAATGCTGGTACGTGAGAATTGCATCAGCCTTGTTACACCAACACTGTAGGTGCTGCATTGGTTGCCAAACGTTTCTGGGTACAATTCTGTGCATTGGTTCTGTTTTTAAAAGTCCTACTTGGCTTGGCTCCTGGCTACCTTTGGGGCCACCTTCTCCAGATAGGGCCCTCCCATCTGGTGCACTCACCCTAACTGGGGTGGTCATTTGTCCCCAAATGAGAGAGGTTAAATCAGTGTGGGCCAGAGGGTGGGGTCTCTTAGTTATGGAATAGCATGCCTCCGAGGCTAGATTGGTATAGACTTTAATATTCTGCAAAGCAGTAAAAACTGACTTCTGTAGGGTCTTGGGACTTAAGGCTACCTGTGTTGATGTCCATAATCGGCATATTTAAGCATAACACTATTTTTTACTGCATTTTTTTTTCTTTTATGGATGATCACAGTTAATAGCCATATTCTTGGAGAAACCGTATAATTTGGTATACTTCAAAGAACTGTTAAGACCATAATCCTATAGCCAGTTTCTGCAACCAGTGCAATCAATTCCTGCAATCAATGTGTTTACAATTGCTTTGACTTGTATCTGCTGTTAAAAGGGACATTCCATAACACTCTTTAAAAGATCTCTAGTCATAATTGGATTGAAGCCAGAAAAAAGGGGGTGGACAGAAATCTATAGTGGCCTGAAAAGCTTTTCTAAGGAGGGCTGAATGGAGGAGAGTGTGCCAAGGGGATTAAAGGAGATTCCCTCAAAATAAAATGTGAGGCTTTGCCATTCAGCAGAGATTTTACTGCCTTCCTCCCCAGCCAAGTTTCTATTAGAAGAAAGGAGCAGGGAATGGCGTTTTATTGGAACCAACCATAATTGGGATGGATATATAGGAGCCTTCAAGTGACTGGCCCTACTCTCTTAGGACATTCAGCCTCCATAAGAATTACTTTTTAGTTTCATAGATCACTTCTTAATAGTCTGGCACCATTAAGCACGTTAACTCTGTGACTTTGCCTTGTGACAAATGTTTTATAATAAAAATCTGTTTAAAGATTGAAATTTACTTCATTGGCTGATCGAATTATGGTGTAGTGCTTGACTCCCTCCCCTCCCATCTCCCCATGTTCCCTTTCAGGGTAGACAGGCTGTCTGAATTTGTTCATGGCTTGGTGTTCACTTACTCAATAAAATGACTGAAAGGAGATTTGTTAACTACTATTAGCAGATTGGAGAGCCAGTTCGTTGTAGTGGTTAAGGCACCAGGCTAGAATCCAGGAGACGGTGAGTTCTAGTCCTACCTTAGGCACGAAGCCAGCTAGAGGACCTTGAGCCAGTCACTTTCAACTCTAGAAAGAAGAAAGCAACGGCAAGCCAATTCTGAAATCTTACCAAGAAAACTGCAGGAACTTGTCCAGGCACTTTCCAGGAGCCAACGCTGGCTCAAGGGCATGCACACACATGCACAGACTCACACACAACAGATTATCCTGCAGGACAAGATGATTTTGCTTGCTCCAAAACTCATGACATGAGATCTCCCTTCAACCATTAATGCACAGCATCTAGAAAACACAGGAGAGCTAACATTTGACAATGACCAAATATAGCAGTTCAGACTTTCTTTTATAAGCCCTCAAGTATCTGAATTATTAAAAAAACAGTCACTGTAAGTATGAAGCGCACAAATCATACATCTTCTGGGCACTTTGGCATGAATTGGCTGGGACTCTAAAAGCTGGCCAAATTTACATTCAATGGGCAGAACACCTTTTTTCTGTTTTTTTAAAAATAAAAGTGGTCAACAAAACATTGGGGGGAAATCCCAAAGAACAACAGCAACAAATGCATCATTTGGAAGTATATAAAGATATATTTGCAATCTAAAGGAGAGAGACAGAAATGTAAATATTTGTGTGGTATTTCTATCCACAAAAGTATTTGTAGACATGGAGGTTGTCACATGACAATAAGGCAGATTTACAGATCAAATTAATAAAATGTATTATTTATTCTGCTGCTATAATTATAAACAGACCATATGTTATTAAAGCATGCTTTAATTAAAGATTTTTCAAACTCTGTGCTGTTGTGTTAATTTTCAGCCACACTTTTAAATTCCATTGATCCAAAGAGAGAGATTTTTCCCACTCACTATAGTAAATTGAATTAATGCATTGTATTGCACCATTTTATATGCCTTGATAAGAATGGATACTGGAAATATTAAGGACTATGATGTACTCTTTTTCAGTTTTCCCCAAAAAACTTCAAAATGAATAAATGGCTACTGACACTAAATTAGCATGTACCAATTTAATTATATTCCCTCCAATGCAATCTAGAAAAACTTTGATTAATACAGTACAACTTTGGGGCAGTGTAGTACTATGCAATAACTATTGCTATAGTCAATTCTTGATGATTTGCTGAAATAAAAGGAATTTTATACCATAAAAAGTTCTAAAATGATTTATTTCATTCAAATCCCACATTCTCTTACTAATTTTTTTAAAAACTTCTGAGAAATGTCATTTCATTTGACAAGTGTTTTGCATAACACAGAACAGGTACATGACTCTAACTGGGAATTACTTACATGCATTTTATTTTAGATAGCCTATATAGTTTTATTTTTCACAACAAATATGTAAAAAGTGTTTTTTCCTATCCCCCACAATTGGCTTGTCAAGAGGCACCCTCAAAGTCTCTGTTACACTTTCAAAATGTGCTTTCTAATATCTTTGTGCCCACAATTTGCCTGTTCTTTTCTAATCAGTACATGCCTAAATAAATGTTGTTCAATACATCCTTACAAATGAAGTTAATATTAAAAAATCTAAACAATTATATCACTAAATAGTTTGCTAATGTTGCAGAATTACATGGGCTATTAAAGCTGAGAGATTTGTAATTAGCTAATGTAACTACTTTTCGTGTACAATATTTTATACTGAATTATTACTTTAGTTATACCTTCTAAGCAATTTGTATTGGGGCTAATCTGAAAATTCTATTCCTTAGTTAATGGTTTCAATTGTTTCTAAGGACAGAGGGCTTGCTATAGAGAGAGAAAGCTATTAGAGGTGATAACATTGAAGAACTTTACAGGTCATTTTTAAGAGTGCACTCTGAATGAGCAAATATTCCAATGTTCTTCATAGAGCATGTCCTACCACATTAAATTATTATTATTTTAAATAAATACAGAAATCTTACAAGATCACCATAGCTTGTGAAAATGTGGCACTTCATAGTAGATGTTAAGTTCTTACATGAGATCTTGTAAAATTTCAGAATAAGATTGCCCAAATTTACCAAATGTCTGAGGGAGGCACCCATGGCTAGAAGTTTGCTGACTGCTAATGAATAAATGCTTGCTTACTTCTGACACCAGATGTTCAGCATCTTGAAATGGATCGTGGTTGATCAAGTTTTATATTTAATTAGTTTCAGAAATACTGCAGTAAACCCTATGTGACATAAAGTAAGGACAGGAGATGTTCTATCTTTCATCCCAAGCAGTACTCTTAGTAATCACAATCCTACCTTACAAATCCTACTTACAATTACCTTACAATCCTACTCTTATAAAGACCGGTTTCAGTATTCAGCTATCACATTTGGCAGATGGTTAACAACTTAAGGATATTGGTTCTTGCATGAAATTGGAACATAGGAACTCCTAAGGCTTCCTAGAATGTTATATTCACTGCAAACAGGTAAATTTGTGAAGCTTTGCACTGGGATGGAGTTTCAGAAGTTTTCATCAGAATAAGAACATACCTTTGTGCAATGGTTCATTTTTGCTAAGACTGGGAGGGATACAAAGCTTTTAAACCAGAGAGACTGCTATGTGGATCTGTTATACCAAACAGATTTCTTATGAATCATTAAGAGGCTGAGAGAATATGACATACAGTTTTCTGATCCAGAGTTTGCTTCATTACATACATAAACTGCTGTGCCTACATAAAGGCTGTGTGCTATTCCTTAAAGTGCAACAAGATTCTTCTGAGAGATCAAAGGAACTGGGCATCTTACCATTAAGAAGAAAAGGCTGAGAGGGGGTATCTTCAACTACCAGAAAGAATATCAGACAGAAGATGGCCAAGATGTTCTCTATCATCCCAATGTGCATGAAATAATGGATTTAAATTCCAGGAAGGCAGATTCCCAATTAATTTGAAATCCCTAATGTTAATAGCAGTTCAACTATGGAACCCATTAAGAGACATTGTGGGTTCCCCTTCATTGGATGGGTTCAGGAAAAGACTTCAGTTAGGATCCTTGCACTGAGCAGAGGGTTGTTTAGATCAAAACAGCCTCTTCCAATTCTACGATTCTAGATAACGCTCAACAAACCTTCCTGCTATTTCACCAAAGGTCTAGGAAGCAATGTTTATGAAACCTGCATGCAGTAGGTTTATACAATGATGCTACAATTGCATTATGTGAAGCTATAAATTAAAATTTACAAACAACAAGAACTGGATTAACACAAGGCATTAAGACCAAACCAAATAAAGTGTATTATGCTCAGCCAAAAAATATATACAACCTCCGTCACAAAAATATAGGAATAGCAACTTTCTTGAACCAGAACTGTGATCATATGTTTATTTTTAAATGGGGAGTTTTATTCAAGATAAGATGTGCTATGGACTGAAAAACCTCATAATACTGTGCCACACTAAGAATAATCAGTGGATTTTGCCAACTAATAGCTATATTATTAAAACTTACTTGGCTTTTCAACTAAACATTTCTCACTCTCTAAAACATTTCTCACCGTCTAGTAGTGATGGAATCACATCTCCATTATAGCAACTAAGTGTTACTACCATGAAATGATCACAGCATTGCTTAGAACTTTCCAATGTTCAATGGATAGCCAAAGCAATACATGCTTCGCTTAATGGGGACCAATACAATTATAGAGGAATAAAAGTTAGTCAACAAGTTAATTTGATTTTCCACTTGGGTACGACTCAGACTCCCATGGAAATGTGTATAACATGGTGGAAGAAAACTCTAGAGAAAGAAACAAACATTGGTGTACTCAGAAAACTGTCTCATAGATGCCAACTTGGCTTTCACCCTATTATTTGGCTGAACCCTCATTATTCAGACTTTGAGAGGCATTCAAGTAGTTTTTATGCTACTGTGTGGCTATTTATATGAATCTTATTTGCAATACACATCATTCTTATTCAATACTAACAAGAGAGACAATCAAACATGAAAATATTTGAATGTGTAGTATGGCATAATTTGCCCGTTTGAGCTGGCAAACAGCAGAAAGAAAGGGGAAGGATTAATCTACTGCAACTCTGGCCAATCCAGTGCTGTCCAGATATGTTGAAAGTACAATTTCCAAATCCCCAAGTCAACAATTCCAACAGCTGTCCCAGCTGGGAATACTGGGAACTATAGTTCCAACTTACATGGACAACACCAGGTTGAGAAAGATTACACATGGATACTAGATCACCAGACTGGGGAAGTTGAGTGTTACTGGTTGCTGATGCCACAATTGTGTTTTACCCTGTATTGAGAGTGCTTGTTTCTTACTGCTATCCCAAGATGGACTGGCAACAAGAAGTTACCTTATCCCAGATGCAGTGGCATATATTTATTTAACTTGGTTTTATACCTTTCTCTCCGTTACAGCTTCTTGATCTACTGAGACCTACAGCAATGTTGCTTTTTTATGGGTAGAAGGTGGATACACAAGAGCATTATTGTACAAGATGTGTTTATATGGCACAGATCATTTATGAGACTGTTTCATAAATATTCAACTAAATTTAGTAAGACACAGTTCCAAGTATATACAATTGGGTATCTATTAAACTTCTTGATTAGCTCAAAGACCTGGTAATAAACAAGCTGGATAGGAGAGACTCTTCTAACAGAATTAACCTTTATCTCATTACTGGACAACCTTGACCCACTGTCCACTCAGCTAGAAAATTGGATTGAGAGAGGGCATATGGTGGGACTCCATGATTCAGAAACACTTACAAAGCTCTGCTTCCCCATGTGAATAAAGGTTTCAGCAATTCAAAAAAAAAAAAAGCAGAATAAAACTAGTGACATACTGTAAAAAGAAGAAACAGAAAAAAATACCTTTAAGGCATTCGTAACTGCTGATTTTTCCATTATGATGGGATCGCTACATGATATTAACTTTTTTAATTGGACTTGCCATTCTATAATTCATAGATAGTAGGTACCATTTATATTTTAAATAGCTTTCAAAAGCTTCAGT